CAATCTCTCACCTCCGCTCCTCCCTCTCCTCCTCTCCTCCTCTCCCCCCTCTCCCTCCTCTCCCCCTGCTCCTCTTTGAGGCAGCAGCAAAGACTAGTTTTCTCTCAACAAGTTTTAAAAGTGTATCTTACCTTTTTTCACCTAGTTAACTTTTTATTTATTTATTCATGCATATTTGACTAATCACATTACATTTCATTTAGCTGACGCTTTTATCCAAAGCGACTTATAATGACCGATTACAGGGACATTCTCCCTGGAGTAACTAAGGGCTAAGTGCCTTACTCAAGGGCACACTAGTGGTGGTGTTCCTGGCGGGATTTGAACTCACAGCCTTCCGATCTTCAGCCCACCTCACTCTCCATTAGACCAATCACTACCCTCTCAAATGGAAATATGTGTTTACATAAATGGTGACCACACCGTTTGAGACCCACTGAGAACTTAGACTAAGTGAACTATCTAAACACTCAGAGAGTCCTTTACCTCACCTGAGCTGAGGTTATCCCGAGCTTGAATGACACACAGAGACTAATCAAGGGCTTACATACATGTATGTATGTATGTATGAATGTATGTATGTATGAATGTATGTATGTATATGTATGTATGTATGTATGAATGTATGTATGTATGAATGTATGTATGTATGTATGTATGTATGAATGTATGTATGAATGTATGTATGAATGTATGTATGTATGAATGTATGTATGTATGTATGTATGTATGTATGTATGAATGTATGTATGTATGTATATGTATGTATGTATGTATGAATGTATGTATGTATGTATGAATGTATGTATGTATGAATGTATGTATGTATGTATGTATGAATGTATGTATGTATGTATGTATGTATGTATGTATGTATGTATGTATGTATGTATGTATGTATGTATGTATGTATGTATGAATGTATGTATGTATATGTATGTATGTATGTATGTATGTATGTATGTATGTATGTATATGTATGTATGTATGTATGTATGTATGTATGTATGAATGTATGTATGAATGTATGTATGTATGTATGTATGTATGTAATGTATGTATGTATGTATATGTATGTATGTATGTATGTATGTAATGTATGTATGTATGAATGTATGTATGTATGTATGTATGTATGTATGTATGTATGTATGTATGTATGTATGAATGTATGTATGTATATGTATGTATGTATGAATGTATGTATGTAATGTATGTATGTATGTATGTATGTATGAATGTATGTATGTATGTATGTATGTATGAATGTATGTATGTATGTAATGTATGTATGTAGGTATGAATGTATGTATGTATGTATGTATGAATGTATGTATGTATGTAGTATGTATGTATGTATGTAGTATGTATGTATGAATGTATGTATGTATGTATGTATGTATGTATGTATGTATGTATGAATGTATGTATGTATGTATGAATGTATGTATGTATGTATGTATGTATGTATGTATGTATGTAGTATGTATGTATGAATGTATGTATGTAGTATGTATGTATGTATGAATGTATGTATGTATGTATGTATGTATGTATGTATGTATGTATGAATGTATGTATGTATGTATGTATGTATGAATGTATGTATGTATGTATGTATGTATGTATGTATGTAGTATGTATGTATGTATGAATGTATGTATGTATGTATTTATGTATGTATGTATTTATGTATGTATGTATGTATGTATGAATGTATGTATGTATGTATGTATGTATGTATGTATTTATGTATGTATGTATGTATGTATGTATTTATGTATGTATGTATGTATGTATGTATTTATGTATTTATGTATGTATGTATGAATGTATGTATGTATGTATGAATGTATGTATGTATGTATGTATGTATGTATGTATGTAGTATGTATGTATGTATGTATGTATGAATGTATGTGTAAGAGCCATTTAGGCACATTATTTTATGGTAATGAATTATGGTTTTGTGAGCCAATTGAAATTCTTTAATTTAACTTAAATGAGCTGAATAATTATGAATTGCTATTATACTGTTTTTGTAACGTGTCATCTTGCTTATGGACAGCTCTAGTTTATGTTTGTTATTATTTATACAAAGCAATAGGAGGGGCGTGCTCAGGTATAAATGACGCTGCCAGCATGACACAGCAGGAAGTCTAGAGAGGAAGTTGGAAAAAGTTTTTGACCGCACACATCCGTATGACCAGGAATCTTGTTTGTTTATTTGTTTTAAATACCGTGCAAACGTTGCACGTCGGCAGTGGGCCGCCAGCTGATGGAACCTTTCAATAAAGCACCTGAATGGAACAAGCAAGGTATCTGGTTTCTTGAGTCAATACTCGAGCTCGCCTCCTAGACTAAGTGGCCTTTGAGCATTCATTTTCTTTGGACAATTGGCCATTACATTAAGTCAAAAACTTCCGACAACGTCGTGAGGATTACTAGCGTGTAGGAAACTACTATCACTGGAATTGTCGGATGTGGATCTGATCGTGCTACTGGAGCTGCGGCAGAAACAAAGTGGATCTGATCGTGGCTACTGGGGCAAAGGACCATTTGGATTATCCTCTACCGTGTGGACATGGACTGCAGGCTGTCACGCTACTCTGCATGCCTTTCATTGGAGTTCGAGCCACTTGGTAAAACAGCTGTTGTCTTTTGTTCAGCCAAACCGGCTGAATAATGTCGGAGGACAGCGCCACTGAGGGTGCATTTACGGTCGACGCCCACAAGAGGGCAGCAAAACCAACAGAAAAGGCCATGGAGCAGCGGCTACAGCTCTGCATCAATGCAAGGAGAGGTAAATTAAGACAACTCACTGCCAAAATGAATGAAGTTGAGCCTTTAATGGGCAACACCTGTAACTTGATGGAAGTTATCTCAAATATGAGACTTTTCAAGGTAATCTTTGAAGAGTTTAAAGACTGTAACTGCTCAGTTGTGCTTTTTATGGACGAAGAAGAAAAGAGCCATGATCAAGAGAGCTGGTTTGAGCCTAAATCTCAGAGGTTTCACGACTTTATTAAATAATCTGATATGTGGATTAATTGTGAGGAGCATTGCAAAGAAATACCACAAGCCTGCAACGATGATGTTTCTCATAAGGACAGTGTATCTGTGGTGTCAAGATCCAGTAGAGCTAGCAGGGCTTCATCCGCTTCAACAGCATCCTCAGCACGACTAAGAGAGGAAGTAAAGCGTGCAGCTTTGGAAGCCAAGGCTGCCTCGCTAAAGCAAAGTCAAGCCTTGGCAGTTAAGGAGGCACATCTTCGGGCTGAGAAAGAAGAGCTGAAAATTAAAACAGCCTTAGCAGTGTCAAATGCTAAAATTAAAATATATGAAGAGTATGACGCACAGGATAAGAGCGATGCAATGAACACGTATTTGGACAATGCAAACACACAGCAGAAAGAAGACACACAAGAGCAAGCAGGACACAGCCATCCACTAATCCCAAGCAGTCATGTAAACCCATCAGATAGGTCTATTTCAGCACTTGGAGTTAGACCTAAAGCACCAAAGGCTCTGGACTCAAGTACATTAGCCAGTGGGGCACATCAGCGACAAAGTGACTATGAAAAGGACATATGCAAAGTAATCAAGAAGCAGACTGATATAACAGAAATGCTTGTGAAACATCAGCAGCTCGCCCTTCTCCCACAGCGTGATCTTCCTGTTTTTTATGGTGACTTGCTCGACTTCAGATCTTTTCTTAAGGCATTCCAACACACAGTCAGCTCCAGAACAGACAATGCTGCAGATAAGATGTACTTTCTGGAACAGTATACAAGAGGTGATCCCAAAGACATTGTAAAAAGCTGCCAGCATATGGCCCCCGACCGTGGTTTTCAGAGAGCCATGGACATGTTGGAAGACCGCTACGGCAACCCACTGAAGATTGCCACCGCTTTGATGGAAAAGGTGCTAAAATGGCCGCAAATAAAACCAGAGGACTCACAAACACTCAACAAGTTTTCCCTATTCCTTTTAAATTGCAGAAACGCCCTGGAGGATGTGAATTACATGGAGGAGCTGGATAACCCTACAAATATGAGAGTTATCGTCTCGAAGTTACCCTATAAATTCATAGAAAGATGGAAGGTGCTGGCATTCAAGATCCAAGAAAGGAGCCAGAGAAGAGTGAGATTCAAAGACTTGGTCGACTTTGTGGATAAACAAGCCAAAATCCTGGCCGACCCTCTCTTTGGTGACCTGCAGGGATCTGCTGCCGAAGCGAAAAGCAGGAACGTTTTACAAATGGAGAAAAATACCAGGAGTGAAAGGATTAAAGGAAGCATCTTTGCAACCAGTGTGGCCACATCAACAGAGGAAGATCATTGCAAACCTCTGACAGTGAATAGCAGGACGTCAAGTAATGTTGCCTTCATGAAGCCATGTTTGTTCTGCAAAAGGGACCACGCACTATTGGAGTGCCATCAGATTGCAGAAAAAGCTCATAAAGACAAGGTGGATTTTATATGGAAATCTGGACTATGTTTTGGATGCCTAGTTCAAGGGCACGTGAGTAAAGACTGCAAAAAGAGAATGACATGCCAAACATGTTCAGAAAGACACCCAAGCTTGCTGCACATTCATAGAATGGACAATGTTTCCAATCATGCACGTGCAGAAAGCCAAGAGGTGGCCAGGTCAGACAGCACAGTAGTTTCAAGTGCACTGGTGAGCTTAAACCAGGAGACTACTACCTGTGAAGGGGCCGGAGATAGATGTGTTCTTGCGATTCTTCCGGTCTACATCAAAGCAAAGACAGGAAGCAAGCTTGTGAAAACCTACGCCTTCGTGGACCCTGGGAGCTCTGCAACATTTTGCACAGACTCTTTAGCAAGGCAGCTAAACCTGCAGGGAAAAGGAGCGCAGCTTGTCCTAACAACAATGAGCTCAACCAAACAAGTGAAAAGTTCTCTGCTGAGAGATTTGGAGGTCTGTGGAATCAAAGAAGAAAAGTTTATCAGCTTAAAAAAGGTTTTCACGCAAAAGAGCATTCCAGTAACAAAGGATCATATTCCTCTTCAGAAAGACATTGAAAAATGGCCACACCTCCTGGAAGTAGAGCTGCCGTGCATCTGAGATAGGACTCCTAATTGGAAATGACGTGTATGAAGCTTTCGAGCCATGGAAAGTCATTCACAGTCAGAACAACGGCCCATATGCCGTAAAGACGGTCCTTGGCTGGACTATTAATGGCCCACTTAAAGAACAAGAAGACAGTGTGCCAGAGGACGGTGAGCAGCACCAAGTCACAATCAACCGGATTGCAGTAGAGACTGTGGAAAGGCTACTCATACAGCAATACAATGCAGACTTTCCTGAGCATTGCTACAGCGACAAACTGGAAATGTCACGAGACAAACAATTCATCAGCTCTGTGTCCAGCTCAATCCATCATGCTGAAGGACTTTATTACATCAATCTACCTACAAAGACATCATTGGTCAGCTTGCCAAACAATAAGTATGCTGCAGTGCAGAGAGCAATTAACCTAAAGAAGAGACTCACCAAAAAACCAGAATTCCACCAGGAATACACAGACTGTATTAGTGACCTGCTAATTAAGGGATATGCAGTTAAGGTGCCAGAGACACAACTGAGCTGGCAAGACGACAGAGTGTGGTATATCCCACACCATGGTGTGTACCACCCACAAAAGAAAAAACTCCTGGTGGTCTTTGACTGTGATGCAAGTTTCTATGGAACTTCAATCAATAACGAATCGCTTCAGGGTCCTGACCTTACAAGCTCCCTCATCGGAGTCCTGACACGTTTTAGACAAGAGCATGTTGCAATGATGGCAGACATAGAAGCCATGTACCACCAAGTCAGAGTCCCAGAAGAGGATACGGACCTCCTACGCCTTTTGTGGTGGTCTAATAGAGACCTCACACAAAAAATGGTTGATTACAAAATGGTTGTACACATTTTCGGCGCCACCTCGTCTGCCAGCTGTGCTAACTTTGCCTTAAGAAGAGCAGCAGAAGAAAACAGGACTGCGGCAACAACTCGGGCCGTAGAGACAGTTCTGAGGAACTTTTACGTTGATGACTGTTTAAAGTCGGTCAGTGGTGACTCTGAAGCCATTGCCCTGGGCAAAGACCTCATGTCCTTGTGCACCTCAAGAGGCTTTCACCTTACCAAAAGGGACTAAAGTGAAGCAGAATCTAGCACCAGGGCACATTGTCATGATCCTGGACGACAACGCCCCTCGGAGCTCGTGGCTTCTGGGAAGAGTCGTGCAGACCATCACAGACTCTAAAGGACTGGTTCGTAGAGTACTGGTTAAAACAAAATCCAGTACTTTGGAGAGGCCTGTGCAAAGACTTTGCCTCATTTGTGAATAGGACACTTGATTTTGCCTTTACAAAAAAAAATGTACATAAAATACGTATATTTAGTTTGTTTATGGAAAACCCATGTCAAGGGGTGTAGGTGGATTCCTCCCCCAAAGGTAAATGCAAACGCTGTTTGTTGAGTATAGTTGAGCTATTATTAGCCATATGTTAGTTTGGAAATGGCTCTTGTTATTATTTATAATTATAAGTCTTCCCGCCTTATAATTAGGGGCCGGAATTGTAAGAGCCATTTAGGCACATTATTTTATGGTAATGAATTATGGTTTTGTGAGCCAATTGAAATTCTTTAATTTAACTTAAATGAGCTGAATAATTATGAATTGCTATTATACTGTTTTTGTAACGTGTCATCTTGCTTATGGACAGCTCTAGTTTATGTTTGTTATTATTTATACAAAGCAATAGGAGGGGCGTGCTCAGGTATAAATGACGCTGCCAGCATGACACAGCAGGAAGTCTAGAGAGGAAGTTGGAAAAAGTTTTTGACCGCACACATCCGTATGACCAGGAATCTTGTTTGTTTATTTGTTTTAAATACCGTGCAAACGTTGCACGTCGGCAGTGGGCCGCCAGCTGATGGAACCTTTCAATAAAGCACCTGAATGGAACAAGCAAGGTATCTGGTTTCTTGAGTCAATACTCGAGCTCGCCTCCTAGACTAAGTGGCCTTTGAGCATTCATTTTCTTTGGACAATTGGCCATTACAGTATGTATGTATGTATATGTATATGTATATGTATGTATGTATGTATGTATATGTATGTATGAATGTATGGAGGACTCTTAAAGGGTCCGCTTCCTGTGCAGCGTTTTATTTTGAAGTTCTTCTTGTTTTATCAACATTTTGTATTTTAATTGAATTATTATTGTTATTATTATTTGTTGTGTTTCTTGACGTGTATTTCCCCTTGCAGTGGCTTCAGACCCCGATGGCCCCTGAGACCCCCCCCGGGCTCCAGCATGGGGTCCAGAATCAGAACCTGCTCCGCGGGCCTGATGCTGCTGGTGTTCGGCACGCTGGTTTCCATGGTGACACCCAGCTCACCTGCCGCAGGTAATGTGTCAGGGGGGGGGCTCTTAAAAGTACGCTGGTGTTACTTCAAACTGGATCAGGGTCTCAGGTCTCAGTTCGGATCGGGTACGCTAGAGGGACCAGAAACCGTTTGAGGCTTCTTCTTGCCTCTTTTAAACCTTGAACGTTTTTTCAATTTTCAATTTTTTAATTTAGCTTCTCTTCGTTGTAATTATTATTATTGTTTGTTTTGATTCTAACATGTTCAATACATTGATAAATATGATGTTGTCCCCCAGGTATGCAGGACTTGAACCGGACGTTTGATTCTCCGCCCCCCTCGGACCAGGACTCTGGAGCTCAGGGGATCCACCTCCTGCTGAGACCTCCAGACCTGCTGTCCCCCAGCCTCCCGCCCCCCCACATCCAGCCCTCCCTCACCCCCCCCCCGCCCTGGGAGCACGGCCCCTCCCTGGAGGAGGCCTGGGGGTCCGGGGACTACCTGGAGACCCTGTCCTTCATGGTGCCGGAGGGGGAGGAGCTATCCAGCCCCCACCCCGAGGACCAGGTGAGTCTCAGTCAGTTCAGAGACATTTCTGAGTCTTTTCCAAACTTTGACTTTTAATCCAAATGTAATTTTAAGTCTTTACAAAACCCGAAGTTTCTTTAATCCTTCAACCAATCAGAATTCAACAAAACTGCCTTTTGGCCGTGTGTCTACTTTGATTGACCAATCTCAGCCCACTGTTTACGTTTATGTTTGATTGACAGATGTCTCACCATGGGGGGGTCTGGGTCTCCTACGACAGTGACTTCCCGTCCCGGTCCACCCTCCCCCTCTCCCCCTCCTCCCCCACCGCCCCCCTGCAGACCCGCCCCTCCCCCCCGGACCTGTTCCCCTCCTGGGACGAGGACTACGACCTGGACCTGACCCCCCTGGAGCCCACAGAGCTGCTGCTGCCCGACATGAACAGCCTGGAGTATTACACCAACCTGCAGGCCAGGGAGAGGGAGAGGGGGCGGGACTCCCACATCGCTCCCACTACAACCCTCACCCCCCACCCTCCCACCACCCTGACCTCTGGTTCTCCTCCCATCCCTCCCCTCACACTCCCACCCACCTTCACACCTGAGGAGAACCCACCAATCCCCACCGTCAGAACCACTTCTGCTCCACAACCCAGAGATAGAGCCTCGATTCCAGGTAGAACCCGTCCTCGACCCCCGTCCAACACCACGGGCCGGGTGCCTCCCCCCCCCCCGCTGGGACCGCCCACCCGCCCCGACAGACCAGAGAGACCCCCCACGGTCACTGAGAAACCACTGAAGGGGCCCCCCACAACCACCAAGGCAACAACCACAACAACCAAGGGGACCACAACAACCAGGAGGACCACCACCACCAAGGGGACAACAACCACCCAGAGCACCGCCATCAGCCTGACCAGAGCCCCCCCTGTCACCACACCCAGAGAGACCCCCCCCCACCAGGCAGTACCTCTGCAACGTCACCAAGCCGGAGATGTACCTGGTCCGAGTCGGTGAGTAATATAACTATGTAAATTTCCCCTCTGCTGGACGAAAAAGGGATTCTGATCTGGTTCTGGTTCTGGCAGTGTTTCAGTTTCCTCTCCCTGTTTCCTGCAGTGAGCTCCAAAGGATCCTCATCAGGCTTCAGCGCCGTCAGAGATCTTCTGAAGAGAGAGTTCAATCGATCCGTGGAGCTGCAGGTAAACCTGGTCCTCAACAGCTGACACTCAGAGGTCCACTTTGATCCGGTTCTGTTCCGTTAGGGTTACTGGTTAATTGATCTTTGGCCTCCTCTCTCAGTTCCTCAGAACCCCGTCCAGTTTTGCCTTCCGGGTGGTGTCCGGGCCTCTGATCTTCACGGCGGTGTCGGTGGTCTCGGCGCTCCGCCGGGCCCCCCGCGGTTCCGGACCTGTCCCCGCCGTGGCGCCTCTGTTCAGCGAGCCGGACCTCCGGTACCAGGTCCACTCGGTGCTGCAGTTCGTCCCCGAACACGTGGACGTCCGGGTCTGCAGCTTCAGCCAGAGGGTCGAGAGAGGCCTGGTTCTGGCCTACACCGAGACCCGCCGGCGCCACCAGGAGGCGGGGAACATCTCCGTACAGGTGAGCTGTGTACAGGTGAGGGAACATCTCCGTACAGGTGAGGCTCTGTACAGGTGAGCTGTGTACAGGTGAGCTGTGTACAGGTGAGGCTGTGTACAGGTGAGGCTCTGTACAGGTGAGGCTCTGTACAGGTGAGGCACTGTACAGGTGAGCTCTATACAGGTGAGGCTCTGTACAGGTGAGCTGTGTACAGGTGAGCTGTGTACAGGTGAGGCTCTGTACAGGTGAGCTCTGTACAGGTGAGCTGTGTACAGGTGAGGCTCTGTACAGGTGAGCTGTGTACAGGTGAGGCTCTGTACAGGTGAGCTCTGTACAGGTGAGCTGTGTACAGGTGAGCTGTGTACAGGTGAGCTGTGTACAGGTGAGGCTCTGTACAGGTGAGCTGTGTACAGGTGAGCTGTGTACAGGTGAGGCTCTGTACAGGTGAGGCTCTGTACAGGTGAGGCTCTGTACAGATGAGGCTCTGTACGGGTGAGGCTCTGTACGGGTGAGGCTCTGTACAGGTGAGCTGTGTACAGGTGAGGCTCTGTACAGGTGAGGCTCTGTACAGGTGAGCTCTATACAGGTGAGGCTCTGTACAGGTGAGGCTCTGTACAGGTGAGCTCTATACAGGTGAGCTCTGTACAGGTGAGGCTCTGTACAGGTGAGGCTGTGTACAGGTGAGGCTGTGTACAGGTGAGGCTCTGTACAGGCGAGGCTGTGTACAGGTGAGCTGTGTACAGGTGAGGCTCTGTACAGGCGAGGCTCTGTACAGGTGAGCTGTGTACAGGTGAGGCTCTGTACAGGCGAGGCTCTGTACAGATGAGCTGTGTACAGGTGAGGCTCTGTATAGGTGAGGCTCTGTACAGGTGAGGCTGTGTACAGGTGAGCCTGTGTACAGGTGAGCTGTGTACAGGTGAGGCTCTGTACAGGCGAGGCTCTGTACAGGTGAGGCTCTGTACAGGTGAGGCTCTGTACAGGTGAGGCTCTGTACAGGTGAGCTGTGTACAGGTGAGGCTCTGTACAGGTGAGGCTCTGTACAGGTGAGGCTCTGTACAGGTGAGGCTCTGTACAGGTGAGCTGTGTACAGGTGAGGCTCTGTACAGGTGAGCTGTGTACAGGTGAGGCTCTGTATAGGTGAGGCTCTGTACAGGTGAGGCTCTGTACAGGTGAGGCTCTGTACAGGTGAGGCTCTGTACAGGTGAGGCTCTGTACAGGTGAGCTGTGTACAGGTGAGGCTCTGTACAGGTGAGCTCTGTACAGGTGAGCTCTGTACAGGTGAGGCTCTGTACAGGTGAGGCTCTGTACAGGTGAGCTGTGTACAGGTGAGGCTCTGTACAGGTGAGCTGTGTACAGGTGAGCTGTGTACAGGTGAGCTGTGTACAGGTGAGCTGTGTACAGGTGAGGCTCTGTACAGGTGAGCTGTGTACAGGTGAGCTGTGTACAGGTGAGGCTCTGTACAGGTGAGGCTCTGTACAGGTGAGGCTCTGTACAGATGAGGCTCTGTACGGGTGAGGCTCTGTACGGGTGAGGCTCTGTACAGGTGAGCTGTGTACAGGTGAGGCTCTGTACAGGTGAGGCTCTGTACAGGTGAGCTCTATACAGGTGAGGCTCTGTACAGGTGAGGCTCTGTACAGGTGAGCTCTATACAGGTGAGCTCTGTACAGGTGAGCTGTGTATAGGTGAGGCTCTGTACAGGTGAGGCTCTGTACAGGTGAGCTGTGTATAGGTGAGGCTCTGTACAGGTGAGGCTGTGTACAGGTGAGCTGTGTACAGGTGAGCTGTGTACAGGTGAGGCTCTGTACAGGTGAGCTCTGTACAGGTGAGCTGTGTATAGGTGAGGCTCTGTACAGGTGAGGCTGTGTACAGGTGAGCTGTGTACAGGTGAGGCTCTGTACAGGCGAGGCTCTGTACAGGTGAGGCTGTGTACAGGTGAGCTCTATACAGGTGAGCTCTGTACAGGTGAGCTGTGTATAGGTGAGGCTCTGTACAGGTGAGGCTGTGTACAGGTGAGGCTGTGTACAGGTGAGCTGTGTACAGGTGAGGCTCTGTACAGGCGAGGCTCTGTACAGGTGAGCTGTGTACAGGTGAGGCTCTGTACAGGTGAGGCTCTGTACAGGTGAGGCTCTGTACAGGTGAGCTGTGTACAGGTGAGGCATGTGTACAGGTGAGGCTCTGTACAGGTGAGCTGTGTACAGGTGAGCTCTGTACAGGTGAGGCTCTGTACAGGTGAGGCTCTGTACAGGTGAGGCTCTGTACAGGTGAGGCTCTGTACAGGTGAGCTGTGTACAGGTGAGGCTCTGTACAGGTGAGGCTCTGTAGAGGTGAGCTGTGTACAGGTGAGGCTCTGTACAGGTGAGCTGTGTACAGGTGAGGCTCTGTACAGGTGAGCTGTGTACAGGTGAGCTCTGTACAGGTGAGGCCCTGTACAGGTGAGCTGTGTACAGGTGAGGCCCTGTACAGGTGAGCTGTGTACAGGTGAGGCTGCTATACTAACCTGATCTACCTCTGTGTCTCCAGCTGCTGAACATCACGACGGCCGTCTCTCGGCCCGCCGCGGCGAAGGTTTCTGTCGACATCACGTTTGCGGTGCGAGATGGGCAGGGCTTCCTGCTGGGGTCGGAGGTCAGCGAACACCTGAGGAAGCTCAGCCCGGTGGAGTTCAGCTTCTACATCGGGTTCCCCGCGCTGCAGATCGCTGAGCGTACGACACACACACACACACACACACACACACTAACAATGCTAAGCTATCAGCTCCATGTTTATTGAATGTCTGAAATGTGTCCACAGCGTTCCATTACCCCGAGCTGAACACGTCTCACCACCTGCGCTCCACCTGGGTCCGGACAGGTGAGTTCCAGCAGGTGTTCTGCACCATGTGACATGTGGAGCAGGTGTTCTGTATCATGTGATGTGTGGAGCAGGTGTCTGAGGTTTGTGTGTGTGTGTGTGTGTGTCAGTGCTGCTGGGCGTGCAGGAGCAGACGGTGTCCGAGCGCAGCTTTAAAGCCCGTCTGGAGCGGCGCCTGGCTCTGCTGCTGGAGGAGAGTCAGCAGGTGCCCAGCAGGGGGCGCTGGAGGAGGGCGAGCGCCGCGGGGAACAGCAGCCTGCAGGTAACACAGGGGTATAGAGGTACATATATACAGGTACACACAGGTGTATACGGGTGTATATATACAGGTACACACAGGTGTATACGGGTACATATATACAGGTACACACAGGTGTATACAGGTACATATATACAGGTACACACAGGTGTATACAGGTACATATATACAGGTACACACAGGTGTATACAGGTACATATATACAGGGACATATAGTATACAGGTTTATGTGTACAGGTACCTGTAGTACCCAGGTATATCGTATTCAGGGAGGCTGTGGCTCAGTGGAATTGTGCGCTGAACTTTGAATCAGGGGGTAGCAAGTTGGAACCCCTCTGCACTCAGCATGTCGTTGTGTCCCTGTGGCGCAGTGGAATGGAGCACAGGTTCAAACCCCACTGCAGTCAGCAGTCGTGTCCCTGAGACTCTTCACCCCAAAGTGCTCCTGAGGGGATTGAACTGAATGTTTGTCGCTTTGGATAAAAGCGTCTAACAAATGACATGTGATGTAATGTCATCTTTCTGCCAGGTGGTGCGGGTGTCGCTGCTCTCGGGGCCGCAGCGCCCCCTGGAGGTGTTTTACTTCGTTGAGGGTCCAGGTGGGGACCGGGTCCTGGCTGAGACCACCTCGCTGACCCTGAACCGGCTGGACCTGCAGAGAGCTGCCATCGTGCTGGGGCACCGCGTCCAGAGACCCCTGGCTCAGCGTGAGGAAACACAAGACTCTCCAATGGAACTGAAACATTACATATTTTCCCAAATTATTTTTCATCTTTTTTTAAATATATTTTTGGGATGTTTTTCAAATAAAAAAAATAAAATAAATTCAGTTATTTTACATTCCTAAGATATTTTGCACATTTTTTTGAATATTTTTTGATTTCTTTGGATATTTTTTGATGCATTTTCATAACCCTGAAGATGAACTTGTGTCCCCCAGCGGTGGAGCTGCTGTCGCCCCCCCCCGGCAGAGACCCAGTCCTCCAGCGTCTGGCTGATCGTGGGGGTTCTGGTCCCGGTGCTGCTGGCGCTCTTCATCATCGTCCTGCTCTACTGGAAGCTCTGCGGCTCCGAGAAGCTCGAGTTCCAGCCGGACGCCATCAACACCATCCAGCAGAGGCAGAAGGTGAGGGGGGGTTACCTGATTATAAGAGAAGAAAGCCCTCAGGATTATAAAAGACCCCCATCACCCCAGCAACAACATGTTCTTGTCCCACAGGCCATCAGACCTCTGTGAAGCACATCCATAAACATTCATCCGCTTGTATCTTGAAATCTACTTATTTATATAAATAGTTATCACCGCAATAAACCATATTTAATTTTGTCTTAATGTAAATTATTTCATTTCATTTTCTGTTCTTGTAAAGGTCAGAAGAATTTCATTTCCATTTCTCTAGATATCTGCATGTGACAATAAAACCTTTGAGTCTTTGCTCCCTGGGGTCCTCACTAACAGCTGTCCCCCCCCCCCCAGCTTCAGGCCCCCAGCGTGAAAGGCTTTGACTTTGCGAAGCTGCACCTGGGTCAGCACAGTAAGGATGACATCATGGTGATCCAGGAGCCCGGCCCGCCCCCCCCCACCAAAGAGGCCACGCCCTCTGACGGAGGCGACCTCAACACCCCCAAATCTAAAGGGTCGTCCACCAAGGTGCCACGGTCCAGCCGGCGCCGGGGCCGGTACGTTACCTTCAGGTTCTGCAGAACAGAGTTATAGACTGTTAGAGAACTCTCCCTGGTCCCCGGCTCGAGCTTCATCTCAGGATCCATGTATCTGTGATCCTCTCACAGGAGTCATCACATACAGAGCATCAGCTAGTTCCTGAACAGTGTCCTTCACATGCTGATATCCAAGAGAGGGAGTTACACAGTCACAAGATGGAGGAATAGAAAGCAGTATTCAATGTTTACTTCAGATTAGCTCCACGTCAGAAATGAGCATGCTTGATGTCTCTCTCCATAGAGGCTGAACCATCATGTTAATCACATAGCTATCATATGCCTCAAACAGTCCTGATGCTCTTCTAGGTAATCACACATGCTGTCATGGTCACAGCTACAGTTGATACCTTTGTTATCACGTTACTCTCATGTTGGAGGAGGACACTCAGTGTCTTCCTAACATAAAGCATGGCGTTAACTGGTGTCCCTCGTCAGGCTCAGCCCGTCAGACGGAGACTCGTTAGGCAGCGACCAATCGAGCGGCAGGGAATCGGCGGAGGAGAGCACGCGGGCCGTGGCCACGCCCAGCGAGGGGAAGCACAGGAAGACGCCCAAAAATGGTCAGAGACACAAGATGGGTACGTTTGTATGAATTTGAATTATATCAATTAGATTTGGGAGATTTTTCACAGATTTATTGGATATTACATAATATTTACATATTATTTAAAATATAATTAAAAATATAATTTACATATTATTTACATATATTTTTGCAATAAAAAAAGGGACGTTTTGCATCTGTTTACTTACACATTGCACTTATCGAGTAGTAGTTTGTGTATGCCTCTCGGAGCGTCAGTAACTCGTATATTTGTATGAATTGTTTATTCCCATGACTCTAAAGTGTCTTTGTCCCCCAGGCAGCGCTCCAGACGAGCTGCTGTCCTCGTCCTCCATCTTCGATCACGTGGACCGTCTGTCTCGCGGCTCGTCTGACGGGACGAGGCGTCAGAACAACAACAAGGTGCAGCTGATCGCCATGCAGCCGCGCCCCCCCCAGCCTCACCTGAGCCCCTCCCTCACAGAGAGGGTCAGCCAAGAGGTGAGAGTAACCAGCGCCCCCCCCCAACCATCATATGAATCTGTTCTAACACCTTGTTGTCCTTTAGGTGGCGCTGCGACACAAGTCAGAAATCGAGCACCACCGCAACAAGCTGCGTCAGCGCGCCAAGAGGCGGGGCCAGTGCGATTTCCCGTCCATGGACGACATCATGGACGCCTTCGGGGAGGGTCCGGTTCAGAGCGCGGTGGCACAGCGGCTCTATAGCTCCGCCCACGACCACATGGACTGCATCCTGCAGGCCGACACCCCCCACACGCCCCCCGACTCCCGCCGGAGGTCAGGGTCGCACAAACCCCTCATCATATTAACAATGTTTTCCACATATGTTTTTTGATAGTTTTCTCTTCTCGCTCCTGATGAGTTTTCTGTCTCCAGGGGGAGGCGCTCTCCTCGGGGTCGGAGGTCTCAGCCCGGACCAGGAAGTCTTCCTGATACCGACAGAGACCGGCTGCTCACCGACCACAGCGCCACCTACAGGAAGTACCCGGGCCTCAACAACGTGGCCTACATGGTGAGTCAAAGTTGGCATATCCAGCCATGCAGTGGGTGGTTTGTGAACTACCTCTCTGAAAGGTCCCAATGTGTTCACTTTGATGGGCTGTCTTCTGAGTGGTTAAACATTGCTAATGGTGTTCCTCAAGGTTCTGTTTTAGGTCCACCTTTATTCTCCACATCAACAGTTTAGGTGAAAATGTGGATGAAGCTACTTTACATTTCTATGCGGATGATACATTCCTCCATTCAGGAAGCTGGTGTTAAATTACAGGCTGTTTTTAACATTATTCAGACTCATCTCTCTGAACTAAAGCTTCTTTTAAATGTTGATTAAACCAAAGTAATGCTCTTTTCTAAAGCTAAAAAGACTCCAGAGCCTGTTTTAGATATTGTAACTATGCAAGGACAAGTACTCAAAGTGGTTGCCTGTTTTAAATACCTTGGTATCTGGCTTGATGATTGTCTCACTTTTAAACTTCATGTCAATAACCTGCTTAAAAAGCTGAGGGTTAGGCTAGGTTTCTTCTACAGGAACAAGTCCTGTTTCTCGCTTGAGGCCAGGAAAAGGCTCTGTGAGCTTTTGACCTGTGCTGTGCTATGGTGATCTGATCTATATGAATGCACCTGCCCATTGCCTGAACAAGTTAGATGCTGCGTATCACAGTGCACTGAGATGTGTTACTAACTGTAAAACACTGACTCATCACTGTACCCTGTATGCCGAGGCAGGTCTGCCTTCACTAACTGTACGGAGGCTCAGTCATTGGTACATGTTCATCTATAAAGCCATGTTGGGTAAACTACCTTTTTATATCTGCTCTCTGATCTCTCGACGAATTGAAAGTACGTATTGCCTGAGATCTCATGATGTGGTTTTATTAAATGTGCCAAGTGCTAGGACTGTCTTAGGGAAGAAAGCTTTTAGTTGTGCAGCTCCACTAAATTGGAACAGTCTGCAAACATGTTTAAAACTGAGCACTTTGGTTCCCCTGCATCACTTTGAAACTCAGCTGGGTGACATGCTCATGGTACCTGTCTCTGTGAATAGAGTTTGTAAACTATACCTTGTACATTATGTTGTATGTCATCCTTATTGTTGTTCTGTTGTTTCTATGTTACATGAGTAACTAATGTCCTGCAGGTCACCTTGAAGAAGAGATCTTTTGATCTCAAGGGGCTTCACCTGGTTAAATAAAGGCTACAAACAAAGGGTCCTCAATATTAGGGCTGAACGATATACCGTGTCATGGCGATAACCGCGGTATGTGCATGCGCGGTATTCACACCGCAGGGACGTGCGGTTTTATTCATTTTTTTTTTTAAATGCTAACGCACTTTAGCACAGAATTCAAAATAAAGATACCCTTATTACTTATCGAAACTGCACATACAATATATCCGATTAAAGCTGAGACTCCACAGATTATTTAAGTATAGTATCTAAGCGATCCGATCTCGCAACAGGGGAAGCAAACACAGACATCACAACACGTACCTTTTACGGAGCTTTTACGGGAGATCGTCTCACCGTAGCTGTCAATCTGATCAAAAGACGTGTTCAATGGCATAAAACGAGAAAGAAAAAATGCGGCTGAATCGGTTGATCCATAGGTTGATAATGTATCTCTGGCTTTGAAGCAATTGTTTATAATCCATAATTCCATTTTTATGTAAAAATCGGATCACAAAAGTTAGCTGCTAATGGTAGCCACCTTGGTGGCAGCTTCCGGTTTTGGCTACGCGTCGTCACTCTCACTCCTTATTTGTTCATGTGTTGGTGTGTGTAGAACTTCCCCTGATATTTGACCTTTTTAGACAGATTTAGCACAAAAAGACCCTCTTCTGGGGCCATTTGGGTGGGTTTTCCATATCTCTGGCCCCCCTTGCTGGATTGTGACATGTGACATCTCTTTCTGACCGTCAGAGCCAATGGAATCGAGGGGAAATCACACAGTCCTTATTTGGTAATGTGTGTGTGAGACTTCCGCATAGCCAAGACCGGAAGCAGCAGCCACTATGGTGGCTACAATTAGCAGCTAACTTTTGCTCTGCGATATTTACATAAAAATGGAATTATGGATTATAAATTAAATCATTTTTTTATACAGAGACGTTAAAAACCTATGGATTAACCGATTCAGCCGCGTTTTTTCTTTCTCGTTTTAATGCCATTGAACACGTCTTTTGATCAGATTGACAGCTACGGTGAGACGATCTCCCCTCGAAGCTACGTAAAGGTACGTGTTGTGATGTCTGTGTTTGCTTCCCCTGTCCGAGTTCGGATCACTCAGGGATGATACTATATACCTAAATAATCTGTGGAATCTCAGCTTTAATCGGATATCTTGTATGTGCAGCTACGATAAGTAATAAGGGTACTTTTATCTTGAGTTCTGTGCCAAAGTGCATTAGCATTTTTCGCTCAGGGGTAATTTAGATGCTTCTTATGAGACTTGTGTTTTTGTTTTGGTATAAAATGGTTTGTATCGTCAGTTAGCTGAGATTATTTCCGTTAATCTGGTATAACACATTAATAGGTTCTTAAATATTACGATCCCCTGAGACACTGTCGTGAAAAAAAAAAGTAAAGTACCCGCCGGGACTTTGGGGTTTAACAGGTTAAAAAAACCGCAATATATACCGCGGATGTCAGTTTTTTTCAATACCGTGCAGCCCTACTCAGTATATCACATGTTTCCCGATGTTTCCCCGAACACTTGTCAGTAATGGTTGAACCTGATGTCACCCTGAGTCTCCCCTCCCTCCCACAGTCGGACCCGGATCTCCCCCCGGACCACGGCAGCCCCTCCCCCACTGACGAGGTGTTTGACTCGGCGCCCCCCCCCCCCGCCCTACCTGCCCCCCCAGCCTTCCATCGAGGAGGCCCGGCAGCAGATGCTGTGCCTGCTGGACGACGCCTTCGCTCTGGTGTCTCCGTCCTCGGGGGGCAGCGGGGGGGTAAGCGGACCCTCCCCCCGACCCCCTTACTCCGCTGCCTCCCCACACAGCCCCTTCTCCGCGGTGAGTCTTATAATAATAATAATAATACATGTATATTGTTGTAAGTGTGGTAGGTAACTGTAGTATAGATAGTAGTATAAGTAGTAGTATATGTATTAGTATTATTAGTAGTAGTAGTAGTAGTAGTAGTAGTATAAATAGAGCAGTGATGGATGGACTCACTAGGACCAGCAGTCAGTGGTACTGATGAGGTAATATACTGATAATATTAGCATGTTGGTGTCATGGTCTCTGTTTGTTTAGTTTTCAAATGAATCTTGTGGTTCTCTCCTCAGAGGTACGCTGAGCTCGGCATGTCTCCCACGTCGATGCAGAACCTGCTGCAGAGGTCAGTCTCAACAACACCAGGTCCAGGTCTGCAGGCCAGGCCGGAACCAGAACTCATCCTGTGTGTTTTATCCAGGCAGGGCCTCAGCTCCGGAGGGTTTGTTTCCACCGGAGAGCAGGACTCTGTTTACTCCAGCAGGGGGCAGTACGAGGACCCCCCCTCCTCGTCCAGACCGCGACCTGTAGGGGGAAGCACAGGTAATCCAGACTCTTAAACTTCACGTCCCTCCTGCAGGTGGACCACTAGATGTGCTCAATCTGTACCATGTGTTGTCCTGCAGGTGCGCAGCTGCACCACCTGACCCAGGTGGGTTTGTCCAGTCAGATCGGAGTGTACCCCGGGGTCGGTCGCAGCATGTCCGGACCCACCGGGTCCAACTGGAACCAGCAGCACTCGGACCAGGACCTGAGCCGGTCCGGAGCCAGCAGAGAGAGCGTGAGTAGAAACCTCTCAGGAGATCCACCCCATGTCCCTGGTGACCCCCCAATCCTTGTTGATCATAACGAATGACTCCTTTAATCTGGATATATTTTCTGGTCTCTCCCTACAGGTTTTGTCGTTTCCTGAGTTTTCCTCCTCCTCAGTTTTCCATATGCCCAGCTCCTCGTTGCGGGACCCGTTGGCGCCGCCTCTCCTCCTGACCTCCCCGACCCCGGAGTACCCGCCGGAGGACGCCTCGCCCTCCGCCCACACCTCCGCCTCCCTCATTAAGGCCATCAGGGAGGAGCTGCGCCGCCTGGCCCAGAAACAGGTGGCCGTCACCAGCTACCCTTAGACTGGTGGATCAGGACTCAACTGGTTTCATCCATCATAGTTTTTCACAGCCTAACTTTGGATTACAACCATGAACCATGAACTGATCCACCCTGTCTAGAACTAATCTACGTCTGTGCCGCTAAGCCCCAAATGACTCAGAAATGACTATCTGAAAGACCTCCGGTGTTGAACAGGGTCCCGTATGTCGGTCCGTCATCCTTCAGCTCAGTGTTTCATCAGTTCACGTTTCCATTGAAGTGCTTCCTGGAGTGGATTCAGAGATCACCCTCGCTGGTTTTCAGGAGCAGATCATTGAACACCTGAAGCTGCAGTTCATTCCCAAAGGTCTGGAGCTCTGAACCTCTGGAACCTCTCCTGGTTCTCCCTAACCCTAACCCTAACCCTAACCCTGTTCTTCGGGACCTTATGGAGTGGATTGTCCCCTGAACTGTTCCTGAGGCAACCCATTCCTTAACATCCGGAGTGGATCTGACCTCATGATGATCTGGAGTGCACAGTCCACCAACTTTCTGCTTGCCCCTCCTGAAGTTCCTCATTCAGATGGTTCCACCTCAGGTTCTTCATCAGACGACCCCTCCTAAACTTCTTCATCGGATAGTCCCTCCGGAAGTTCTTCATTGGACAATCCTTCCTGAAATTCTGGGGGGAATCGACCTACCTGAGGTTCTGCAGTAGATCTTCCCCCCTGAGATTCTGCAGTAGATCTTCCCCCTGAGGTTCTGCAGTAGATCTTCCCCCTGAGGTTCTGCAGTAGATCTTCCCCCTGAGGTTCTGCAGTAGACGTTCCCCCCTGAGGTTCTGCAGTAGATCTTCCCCCCTGAGGTTCTGCAGTAGATCTTCCCCCTGAGGTTCTGCAGTAGATCTTCCCCCTGAGGTTCTGCAGTAGATCTTCCCCCTGAGGTTCTGCAGTAGATCTTCCCCCTGAGGTTCTGCAGTAGATCTTCCCCCTGAGGTTCTGCAGTAGACGTTCCCCCCTGAGGTTCTGCAGTAGATCTTCCCCCTGAGGTTCTGCAGTAGATCTTCCCCCCTGAGGTTCTGCAGTAGACGTTCCCCCCTGAGGTTCTGCAGTAGATCTTCCCCCCTGAGGTTCTGCAGTAGATCTTCCCCCCTGAGGTTCTGCAGTAGATCTTCCCCCCTGAGGTTCTGCAGTAGATCTTCCCCCCTGAGGTTCTGCAGTAGATCTTCCCCCCTGAGGTTCTGCAGTAGATCTTCCCCCCTGAGGTTCTGCAGTAGATCTTCCCCCCTGAGGTTCTGCAGTAGATCTTCCCCCTGAGGTTCTGCAGTAGATCTTCCCCCCTGAGGTTCTGCAGTAGATCTTCCCCCCTGAGGTTCTGCAGTAGATCTCCCCCCCTGAGGTTCTGCAGTAGATCTTCCCCCTGAGGTTCTGCAGTAGATCTTCCCCCTGAGGTTCTGCAGTAGACGTTCCCCCCTGAGGTTCTGCAGTAGATCTTCCCCCCTGAGGTTCTGCAGTAGATCTTCCCCCCTGAGGTTCTGCAGTAGATCTTCCCCCCTGAGGTTCTGCAGTAGATCTCCCCCCTGAGGTTCTGCAGTAGATCTTCCCTCCTGAGGTTCTGCAGTAGATCTTCCCTCCTGAGGTTCTGCAGTAGATCTTCCCCCCTGAGGTTCTGCAGTAGATCTTCCCCCTGAGGTTCTGCAGTAGATCTTCCCCCCTGAGGTTCTGCAGTAGATCTTCCCCCCTGAGGTTCTGCAGTAGATCTTCCCCCCTGAGGTTCTGCAGTAGATCTTCCCCCTGAGGTTCTGCAGTAGATCTTCCCCCATGAGGTTCTGCAGTAGATCTTCCCCCATGAGGTTCTGCAGTAGATCTTCCCCCATGAGGTTCTGCAGTAGATCTTCCCCCCTGAGGTTCTGCAGTAGACGTTCTCTCTGTGGTGCTAGCCGTCTGCCTCGTCCTCATCGACCACTGATTGCCTTCCACTCTCCCATCACTCATCATGAGGTCTCAGTATATAAATATCTATAAGAGTATCTGTAAAGAAATAGAAATGAGCACAACATTAATGTAAGAGTTATCTGAGTATTGAGATGTTACTTCTTTTTTATTGCTTATATATGAAAGTATACTTTAAATATCTTATTTTGATGAAAAAAAGACCAACTACTGTTCTACGGTCGTGTTCCTCTTGTGTTTAAGCTCGCTGTAGATGTTGATTAGCGTAGCTGCTAGCTCGTGTTGTTCATGTATCGGTGGCAAACCAAAAAAAAAAAAAATTAGCGCTTTTATGCATCTCTTCGATATCAAGTTCCTCCATCGCTGATCTGTTGCATCCGTCAGTGTGGGCAGGACATTTGATAAGAAGATGTTTCTGTAGGGGGCGGAGACCGGAAACCAGTCATTCATCGCAACCAGAAACTAAAGCTAAACATCCGCTAACCCAATAACCTCAACTTCAATTCTGGATTCTGGAAGAGTCTGAAACGTGACGATAACAGATGTGTTTGGGAGACAGGGAAGTCCCTCTTTGATCCTAGTTACGCTGTTTGTGTTGAAACCTGCCAGAAGAGCTAGCTCATTAGCTGGTAGCTGGTAGCCTTTTAGCTGTTAGCTTTAAGGCGTTGAGCTGCATATGTTAAACAGTCGTTGCATTGAGTTGCATTCTGTTGCGTTCAAGCTCTTTCTAGTAAAAATTAGTCATCGGCCCTTTATTGAGCAAATCTGAGAGTTATTAGAGCGGGAAATATGTCTTTCCTAACAAATCCAGTATGCCAACGACAATAGCGGACGTTTTTTTTAGATTTTTACCCTGAAAACGTGACGATTGTACTGGTTTTGGTGCATATTTCGAAATGACGTCACTACACGGTCGTTCACCTGACGACCGGTCGTTCACCGTTCAGGTGAACGACCGGTCTTCAGGTGAACGACCGGTCGTCAGGTGAACGACCGGTCGTCAGGTGAACGACCGGTCGTCAGGTGAACGACCGGTCGTCAGGTGAACGACCGGTCGTCAGGTGAACGACCGGTCGTCAGGTGAACGACCGGTCTTCAGGTGAACGACCGGTCTTCAGGTGAACGACCGTTCTTCAGGTGAACGACCGGTCTTCAGGTGAACGACCGGTCGTCAGGTGAACGACCGGTCTTCAGGTGAACGACCGGTCGTCAGGTGAACGACCGGTCTTCAGGTGAATGAATGTTCTCTGTCGCGTTGTGTAAACTCTGGTTTCTGTCCGTCTCTTCTTCGGCATGTTCGACTCAGTTCGATGCTTCTCGTGATGTTCGTGTTAGCATGATGCTAAAGTGTTTAAACTAAAGAGCAGAGAGGGTCGCTGTGCCATCGTTGATCCAAACAGATTAATATGACGTCTGTTTTTTGCTTTGCGTTGCTAAAGATATTTTTTAAGCTAACAGCAGATGGTTTCAGTAAATATAAATGAAAGTGGGTATGGTGTTGAATAGAAAACATATATATATATATACATCTTTAATGTGTGATTACTCTGCTGACCACGACTGGTTCTGGTTCCTGTTCACTGAGGCCCGCCTGCAGAATCACATGGTGCTAACTCGACGCCCCGCCAACACTGGGACATTAATGGGCGGGCGTCGAGCGTTACAACCTGCAGATCACACACTCCTGCTGAGCGTTTTCTACCTTCTGTTTTCTATCTGAGACGCTCAGAACACACACCTGGGACGGCCCGCCAGACCACAGACCAGCGGTAACGAGGGGGTTCAGGTACCGGCCACCGTACAGGCTGCAGGACCACAGACACATCGTTTGATTTACAGGAGTTTATATATATATTATTACATTATTGCCTCTGCATTGGATTATTATCTGATAGGGTGATAACTTCATAATTAACTACGTCTGAAAGCAGAAGTCTGGGGCAACTCATTTCAAGCCTTGTCAGTGTGCATGACACACAATGAGATGCATTGTGGGACATGTAGTTTATGGGAAACGTGCTTCTGTAAAGCGGCATATGTATATATATAAACTTATTCTATTCTTTCAGAGCTCTTGCAGGGCCACAGAAAGTGAAGTCCGGCCCGCGGCCCTGAGTTTGACCCCCTGCCTTAGGGGAATGTGTAAACACAGGAAATTAAGTTTTGTGCTCAAAATAAAAAATGTATAAGCAATAATTGTTTTAACTGCTGCAGTTTTAAACATTGCTCTGACGTCCAGAACAAACGTAATGAACCGGATCATAGAAGTTATAAGACCTCAGGACTTCACTTTAACAGGTTCCTGATCGACCAATAGACAGTGGCTGTTTCTCAATGTTGAGTGCGCTTGCTTGGTAGCACGTGTCTGCCGAGCGTCTTGCTTCAGAAGCGAGACAAGAATCCTTCCTGGCATTCGGAAAACGAAGAGTGGAACAGGCTAGCAAGTGTGCAGGTGTGAGTCATATGAGAAGCCCCGCCTCTTACATTTTCCGCCACAGATTTGGGGAAATTGGTCCGTGCGCAAAGCATTGTGGGGATTTTAAGTCTACACATGTGCAGCTTCGACATTTCTCCAAATGAAGTACGCCGGGCTCGGTAGAATTCCAAGGATCCTGGACATTGGAACAGTCCTTCTGCGGCACTCGATGACGTAGCATGCTTGAAATAGTGGCTCTGGAGCAGCTTTACTCGACATTGAGAAACACCCAGTCACACCTGTGCACAGGCGTCCAAACGTGCCACTTCCTGTTTACCTGTTTATCTGTTGGTCGATACGCACCCCTTCCTGTTTACTTGTTTATCTGTTGGCCACTTCCTGTTTACCTGTTGGTCGATACGCATCACTTCCTGTTCACCTGAGGCTCACCTGGGGTCTGTGGTTTGCTCGTGGCCGTCGTCAGACTCAAACATTCCTGTTCCTCCGGACTCCTGCAGCTCCTCTCAGATATGTGTGTTATTATGGGATGTGTGTATTCAAGTGAAGCTGCTGCATTAGGAGTTAATGTGAGGGGGGGGGGGGGGCACTGCCAGCAGCTGTCACATGACTCAACATTAAACTGATGTGTTTAAAACACCTGCAGCCCTTCCTGTCTTCTGTCGTGTGTAGCTTAGCATCGCTGCTAACATGGAAGTGGGATGTTTTTTATTTTGTAGATTCATGTTTATTGACACGTTTGATAACGTTAAACTTTAAAGCTAGTTTTATTTAATGTCTAGCTCTATAACCCCCCCCCCTTTACCTGGAGCTAAAAAAAAATGGGGAGTGACCCCAGGCGAGACGCCTTACAGGCCTCTCATAATATATCATAATCATTTCACTAGAAAGCAGCTTCTTAGTTTGAATGTCTTTGTTCAAAAGTATTATTTGAAGTTATTTAGCTTCTCGTGCTTCAGTTTAAAGAAACTACATCAAAACATCGGATTTGAAATGTTTTTCACCCTTTTCTCTAATTATTATTGATTAGCCTTATTTAGCACATTTATTGTTCGATATCGTAACAATAACAACATTCCAGAGATGTATTGTTTTCTTTAATTCCTGATTATTATCTTAAGAAAAACTCAAAAATGTTGGGTGGTAAAAAAAGGGTGAAAAGAACAAGAGGTTAATGTTGAACACCAACAGGAACATGAAGCAGCAGCGCCACCGTGTGGCTGAACTCACGCACTGACCCTAAAGCTGAAAACCAGACATTGTTTTAATCTACTTTAACACATGTATATATTTTGATAACGTAAAAATAACAACAACAAATCTGTAATAATCTTTGAATTCATGATTGATTTGTCTTGTTCTCACGTGGTCATAAAACATGTTTATAACTTCTTGGGTTTTTAGGGAAACTGTAAAACATTAGAAATTCAATTAAGAAATCTTAATATTAGTATTTAAAGTTATTTAGCTTTTCGTGCTTCAGTTGAAAGAAGCTGCAGATTTTAAATCTAATGATTATTCATTAACCTATTTTTGCACATCTCACTTCACAATCGATTTAATCTTTTCATTCATGATTTATTTCCTTATTGTCTAAAGAAACAATGATCCGTTGGGGGGGGGGCACATCAGTTATCACAGAATACATCAATGCTTTTAACCTTCAAGGTTTTAAGAGACAGGTAAAACATTAAAAGGTAAATTAAGAAACTTGAACAGCTGATGCTCCAATCAGTCATCGTGACGTCACCAACTTGAAGGGGAGTCTCCCTCAGTGACGTGGAGCTTCCGGGTTACCTGGCAGCAGGTAAACAGCAGAAGAACAGGTTCACTTGAGAGAGTTCCCGCAGAATGAGAAGAGGCTCTCTGAGGACAGATCCACCGGGACAGATTCAGTGTGAGTACAACCCCGCGAAGTACCGACAAACACGTTCAACCGAAGCTCATCTAGTCCGTGAAACAGCGCGAGCTTCTCGATCCGGGATCGGAAGTGAGAGTGTTTATGATCAGTCTGTTTATCTACCTGATACCTCGCGGTAACAGTGGCGTTTTCTCCCGGAGGTCAAGGGAAGCCAGGCTTCCTCTGTTTTTTCGGATTGTAGTTATAATTTTAATAAATATATAGAAACACTTCGTTTAGTTTCGGAAGTTCTGTGCTGTGTGTTGCTGCCGGCCCGTCTCTCCCCCTCTCATTGAGTATTTTACAAAGAGTGAAACAGCGCTCCTCTAGATGTTATGGTGGAACAGTAGATTGCACTCACTGTTGCGAGAGGAGGCCAGCCGAAACTGGCTTTCCTTGGTGAAAAAAAATGGAGGGATTGACCAATCAGACAAGGCTCACGTCATGCCCCTGCCAACCTGTGATTGGTCAGGGCCATGCCAAGGGAAGCCAGAGGCGGCTGGCTTCCCTTGCCTCACAATCCAATCAAATCGCATCAACTTAGTGTTGCAGTGACGCATCCTAAAACCCAGAAGTAAGCTGCTCTCGGTTTCCCTCCACAGAAAGCAACGGGATTTCTCCATAGTATTTAGGAAAATAGCTCGAAATAAGGTCAGTGGAAAAGGAACCTGTTAGATAAATGCACGTTGTGTTCAGTCGGATCATATCCACATGTCTACCCTACTTTTATCATTTTCTAATCATAAATCTAATCGATAGAAGATAGATAGCGTCACTGCATCACTCTCACCGCCGTTAGAAAGTAGCAAGCAACTTAAGCAAGTGCAATTATGGAGGGTGGAGATGTGGAGTATTTCATCAAAAATAATTGTACTAAACTTCCGCTACAGCAGCAACAACAAATACAATCTGATGACAGGCCGATGCCCAAACTGGAGCTGTGTACAGCGAGGAACAAAGGAGCGAGTCGGACGTAAAACGTTAAAGGTCTCCTGATTTAGTTTGTGAATGAATGCTTATTAGAGGTTCGGCTGGAGAGCGCGTGCGGACCTGTCGGTTAGAT